CCCCAAAACCCCAAAACCCCAACTTTCAAAATTCAAGACTAGTATTAAAGAAATTAAAATCTTTTAATAAAGTATATCAATATTTTTATTTTTAATTAGTTCATTCATAATTTTAAATATTCTGCTTATATAAAGATATGGAGAACTTGGAATCTATGCTAACTTGTGGGAAATGCCATTAATTCTTTAATACACTTACAAGGATACCTTTGAACCTATAATGCGGAGATGTAATATGTTCAGAATGCTACTATATATAATTATACAAATCAGACTCAAGATTTATATAATGTCCATTTGATGCAAAGCATAAACTTGATAGGGAAAACACTCCAACTGAATCACTTTTTCTTGCTAAACATTTGAAAAATTTCTGATTCTATAACATAAACTGCAAATACCATGAGAATAAATAAGCCAAATACTTTTGTAAAAGATAGGACTCATTAGTGTGTTCAAAGTGTCTACTTGAGTAAGATGATAGCGATCAATCCGATGGTTAATTATGCATTTTTAAGCTAAAGTGAAAATATCTTGAGGACGCAATGTTAAAGGTAATACCGATTTTAAAAACTGAGATCTTGAGAATCAAGACAGTTATTCATTAGTTTAAGGAGTATACTAATATAAATTAGAAATTTACTGGCAATCAAATAAATGAGCTAATCAAGCAATGCTAGCAAATTCTCAGATACTCAAGAATCAACGATGGCATAAAGAAAAAGATTAAGCGGAAAAATAATATCTTGACTTTTCTCTAAAACTTTTCGTAAATTTAAATAAAGCATCTTTACACTTTAGAGTCAAATTCGCTAAATCATAATAATATAAGCAAACAATGTAAGACATTGAGGAAAATAGTATAAATGATGAAATTTTAAAACCTGGATTGCAGTAATAAACTTAAAATTTCCAAGATTAAGGCAAAAATTTAGAAATTATAAGCATTTATGATACTGAGGATGAAAAAACCGAATAATTAATTAATAATAAATTGCAGGATTAAAATGATGAATATGTTGTAGATATCAATTAAGACTTAGAGATATAAATGGAAATTATAAACGAGCAGATTTATGATGATTTATAAGATAAAATGTAAGAGGAATTACATTAAGAAGTCGATAATGAAAGATAAGAGGAGATTAAAGAATATGAATAATAAGAAGCAGATTCAAATGAAATTAATCTTCAACAAGGAAAAGGAAAAAGGTCAACTAGACTTGATTAGATAGTTCAATAAAAGCAAGCTTTATTCAAGAGATTAGTCTAAAATGAGTTAAACCAGGGAAAGTAAAGCTTCTTGATAAAACATTTGAAATTAGGAAATTCTAAAGGATAATTTAATTTTGAGTTGCTTTATAAGGCAACAGTAGATGGATTTAAAGCTAAAAAGTTCCATTAAAAATGTGATAATTAAGGCGCAACCATTTCATTTATACTGAGTAATGCAGGTTAAATATTTGGTGGCTACGCATCTTAATCTTGGGATGCTTCAGTCAATGGATACATTAAAGACAAAAATGCGTTTTTATTCAATGTAGGCAAAAAGAAAATAATTTATGTTAAAGAAGCCAATTAGAAAAATGCACTTTACAGTAGTGAGGAATGTTTGATGTCATTTGGACTTGGAAATGACTTGCATGTCCATGATGACTGTCACAAAGAAAATGAGAATTACTCATTTTTAGGTAATTCATTCCACTGTCCATTTGAATGTGGTAAGTACGGGAGTTTAAAAGCATAAAAGTATCTCGGAGGTTATAAAAATTTTAAAGTGAGAGAAATTGAAACATATCAAGTCACTTAATTAAGAAATTGATTAAAAGGTATTTATTGATTTTAGATATTTGATCAAATGATTTTACAATATGACTTAATTTATTTGATTGCGGGGTTTTGGGGTTTTGGGGTTTTGGGG